ACAACCTGATCCTGTAAAAATAAAAAAAGTAAAGGTCACACGAGTTCCTGAGCCACGACCAGCAGCCAAAACTCTATCATGTGGGTACGAGGGGGAAGAAAATAGCAAGACTGAAGGCAAAATAAAACATATTTGATGAATAAAATAAACACAGCGCTGCTTATAGGTGGTGCACAGAGACAGACTGTAGAGGATGTAAACAGTAGAATATCTAGTTTACAGAATTTTTCCTCCACCTGGAGTCACTCGGACGAATGTTTTACACACTGAATCCAGTTTTTTAACATTAATAAAGAGCATAAAACACATTTCTGAGCTCTTTGTGCATCTAATCCTGGTTGTTCTGTTTCCATAGAGGTGCAGAACTTTATATTTTAGTGAAAAGTGAGTAAATATGTGACAGGAGCAAAGAAAAAAAGCCCCAAAACTGCAGATTTAAGCATCCAGAGGGTTAAAATGTGAAGCAGCTCGATCAGAAATGAACAAAAATAGAAGAGTTTAGTTGATATTTGTGAGTGAATGAAGCGTTCAGGCTGCTGAACCTCCGGGTAACCAGCGAGGTGACTTTATAATTAAACCGGTTTGGATGCTCTGGACGGGCTGATATAATATTAAACTGGACCTGCTGCTGCTGATCCAAAACATCTCGTTCAGTTATCCCAGAACAGAACTCTTCCTGCAAACATTCATCCTTTTTATTCTAATTACAGCCGCTACAGTCGCGTCCTCTCTCTCTTTTTTTTATGTGGAGGTGTTTGGAGTCTGTGAAAACCTCGCCGCTGGGTGTAATTACGCCTCACGTTGTGTAAAAAATAAATCCGCAAACCATCTGATTTGTTCCCAAATTGGCCACTTTTGAGCGCGAGCAGCAGGGGGCGACATAATGGCCTCACCTCTCGGCGGGGCGGCGGGACGTTCTGCGAGGACCCCCCGCCGGGCGCCGACGTATAAGAACGGATTTATTAATAACGGGGCCGACGCAACACGCGCTAATTTCTTAAACGGCCTGCGCGTCTTAAACGATGATTAACTCCGGCGGCGGCGGCGGCGGAGCATCGATTTCAGTTTAAGACGACTCTTAAGAAAATAAAAGCCTCACAGGAACCTTTTCTCACCAGGAGACGCTCTGCAGGGAAAACAGCAGCTTCTGAAATGTTAACAAATTTCCTAAACACACAACAGAACAGTCATAGATACGTTTCCTCTACAGCA